TGAAAGACAAAACAAAGAGTCAGCAGAGAACTTCCTGCTCACTCGAGAGGCGATAGTCCGTTTCGTTCAGGACTCCATCGCAAATGCGGTGTACCGCCAGAAACGGAACACAGACAAGAATGGAAGAGCAAATGTTCTTTCATTTAATATTAATGACCTAGTACTACTGTCTACGGTAAACCTACCTGGACACGCAGTCACTAGTGTCGGCAGTAGTAAACTACTGCCGAAGTACATTGGGCCATTTCGAGTGTTGCATCGCAAGGGCAATGCATACACACTCGAATAGCCACGTAAGATGCGCACGCATCCTACGTTTTACGTCGGGAGGCTCAGGCCGTACTGTCAGTACGAGCCTTCTTCTTCCGGTGAAGATAGCCCCCACGTTCAAGAACATCTATCAAGTTCTTGCGTTCGCGCTCCAGACGATCCGTCTGGTCGCGAAGATATGATACCTCGAAACTCAACCGAGATATCTCCCCGCGAGCTGCCGCCAGCTCGCCGAATAGGGAGCGGACATCCCGCTCGACCTGAAGCTGCGCTGTGGCATAATCGGCGCGATCCCTCGCCCGATCAGCCTCTTGATCCTTGCGGTTTTTCCACACGGTATCAGTCAAAGCGTAGCGCCGGTCGCACTCGTGCTTCAAGTCATCGCGCAATTCATCGATTGCGCGATCCATCTCGTAAGGGTCGAGATGGTGAGCCGAATCGTCTGGAGGAGGTCTTTCCTCCTCCACCACATCCTTTGGTGGATGCTCACGGTATTCAACGCTTTCTAGTGGAGCGTATCTTGAATCACCGTGACGATTCAGGATCAAGGACGAGCTACCTCGTCCAGTGGCGGGGGTATCCACCCTCTCGGAACAGCTGGGATCCCCGCTCTTAGCTGTTGATGGATGTTGAAGGTCTCGTCCGCCAGTATGACGAGACCCATCCGATGAGTCCTCGGGCCCATCGGTAAACACGCGCGTTAGGCGCTTGTAGACGGATTTCAAGTTTGCAATCGCGTTACGCATCTCCTCCGAGATGTGTGCCCTTCCCCAGGGCGAACTTAGGGAATAAACGTCCCTATGTGCACGCTGCGAGTTGTCAACACAACTCGCACAAGGGTCTTCCCATGTGAGGAAAGGAATGTATGCCTCACTCGACAAACAGTGCAACCGGTACCTTGCACCGGTTGGCGTTCGCTTTTCGAACCTGAGGCGCGTCGCCTCAAGTTTCTTGAGTCACCCTTCTCGTCCAAAATTCTTTACGTTTTGGACGAACGCGTTCCATGCAGCCAAAAGCGAGGCTTTGTCACGCTTTTGGTTGCTGTTGTACCATCGATGTCTAAGGAAGACATCGAGATAAAAGTATTCCTCAGCGCATAAGTTGCTCGCGCTGGGATCCACGCTGTGAAGCTCAGTCGCATCGAATAAGGGTGTTCGATGTTGTTGGCCTGTCTCGTGAGACAGGCTATTGATGAGCCGTTCGGGCAAACGCCACGGCTTCAGCTCATCACGCTTCACATTGGTAACTTTGTTGGTACCACGGTTGTCAGTATGACGATGGGTTGCACCATCGTCAGGTCGCTCGTGAGAAGGAGCACGAGCTGACTTCGGTGATGAGCAAACATACTCATCATCAGATTCGTCATCACTGCCGAACAGACTGTGTTGCAACTCACGAGTCCGTTCGTTCGGCAGTGGCCTTGGCGAACACTGAGGCGTCGCCGGTGAGCGAGACGCCTCTGCAGCATTGCCCGAGTCAGACACGTCTGACTCGCCAGAGTAGATGACCTCAATGTCGGGGTCATCATGCGCACGCGGTGCTCTACCGCGTGCACCTGCAGCACCTCTTGCTGCAGGCGAAGAACGAGCAGCAGACGACGAATCGTCTGCCGCAGAAGCTGGCACAGGCACAGACTCTGTGTGCCTTGAGTCACCCCGCATAGACATGTTAACTATGCGAGGTCGAGCGGAAAGTGAATGGAACGGACCCAACAAGTGCTCCCTGTCCCAATGGTGACCAACGGGCGGCCGCCATTATTTTCGATAGTCACACGATGACTATCAGTTAAGGGGGTGATGTAACGGGGTAGCCCGTTACATGGAATTGTCACTTTAAGAAAAGTGACAATAAAGAATATGAAGTTGAATATTCTTTGAACAATATCACCAAAGTGGTGATATTGAAGGGTCGACCAAAGAGTCTGTTCATTGGTTGATATCTTGATGATATCAACCCACCAATCGCCGCAAGACGCGCGCAATGAGTGGTGACGAGACGTCGTCATACATTCAGTTATATTAGCATAATTAAGTTAAGTCAAACAGAGAGACAGTAGTTAAAAGACTTAATTATATTAATATAACAGTTCTGCTTTTACCCTACCTACGCTTCCTCGCTTGCCTTGTGTACGTCTGTCGGGGCACCGATACCCTTGCGTTAAGTTCACGCAAGGGTGTGCCCCTTACAATCAGTGATGCAGGAGCGCAATCGATGGCAAAAGATGAAGCTCTCTCACTTGTTCTACGCCAACTAAAACGGAGAAGCGGACACTTGCGAGTCGACTAGTGGGCTGCAAAGGCACAATGGACAGTATCGCGATCGGAATTGGCATTTTGAGGGTGTGACAACTGTCAAGTGGAAAAGTCGATCGCTTCGTGAAAACGTCTTGCGAAACGTGCTCTGCCGTCTTCGCTACTCATGAAGACCCGTTCGTAGCCACAAAAGGAAGAGCCATTGGGAGAAATTTTGCAGGTCTACACAACATGCAATGGGTGCGACGCGAACGGCGCTAATGTAAAGGAGGTCGAGATCTCTGGTTCATTCTGTATGCAAAAGTACCAGCTCCCAGAGCCTGTTGTGAGTACAGTCTTCAAGAGCGGATCGTTCTGCGCTTCACCTGTCAAGTATGCAAACTCTGGTGCTGGTAGCTCGCACACATGACAGGTAACTTCGGATCCAGCACGGTCTGAGCTACGTAGTTCATGTGGTTGCAGCGGGAAGGCCATGATCGTTGAGGAGGTCGATAGATACGGCGTGGACGCAACGAGTACGTAATGCTGGACATTTCGTCAGCGCGAGCTTTGTAGGACAATCGCCATCATCACCAAAAACGATGTGGCTGCTTTACGACAAGCAGAGCTCTACTACCTGCAGGTTGTGTCCAAGAAGATCACTGCAGTTCTGGAAATGAAGAAGACGCACGTCTTTGCATTCGTGAACCTACATGCCTCACACACGCTGTAAAGACCACGTCTTACTGCATGTCGTATGCGTGGGTGTCTAGTATCGCTGACATGAACTTCACGTGAACGCGGTCTCTATGTATGTCCGAACCACAGCCAGCGCAAATGCATCGTAAAAAGTCTTCCGCTGTCCATTGGCAGTACGTCGATGGAACGATTTGCTTCCTCCGTGTGCGATGGAGAGATCTCAAACAGAGACGCAGGTACGGCTCAAACGGGCCCTCCGGCAGAACGACAACTGTATGGCTGGTCTGAACGGCTACATACCTCATAGCGGTAGTCGATGCGGCACGAAGAAGACCTCGTACCTCACTGGAGATGTTTTGGACTTTTTGCACGGTCGTGTGTCATTCCGACAGTTGAGCGCCGCCTCTTTGTCTCGGCGCCCGTTTTTCGTCGGTTTCGTGAGCACTTGGGCTTCGATGGACCTGACGTCGCTGGTGTGGGAAGCAGATGGAGAAGATATGTCGTCGTAATCCTATCGCGACTACTTGTCACTCCGACAAAGTTCCATCGACGCACGAGACAAGACGCACCAAAGCGAAGTTCGAAGCCAGCGCGTCGTACATATAATCTGTCGTCTCCAGTCAGTTCTGTGTGGTGCGCATGGCCTCTACTCGCTGCTGAGATCTCGTCGCTCGTGTGACAAGGCGAATGAACATCTCGACTTTCGTGCACGACACACTCGGAGCGAGTGAAGTAGACAAAGACTTGTTCAGTTGGTGCTGAAGGCTCGTTGCGATCCGAATGTTCGAGAGAGGGCTTCTATCAGCCGTAGGGAGAAGGGGCGTAGCTCGAATTCCATCGCTCGTCGCTGTGAGAGCTATCGATTCCACACGCAAGTAAGTCGTTTTTTTGGCTCCCTACTTGCTATCGCAGAAGCCGTCAGTCGACCATAACGCGTGGCGGAAGACCGACACGCAGCAGGTTAGTGGCTGTCAGACATCCGTGTGACCGTTTGTAAGTGAACGGCAGCCCAACAACAGTGCGACTTATGTTAGCTTCTGGAAGCCAACAAGCTCGACAAGATGTTCGTTCACCCGCGCTCGCTCTTCACTGCCGAGACGCGCTCTCTGATACGCTGACTCGAGGTGAGCGCATGCAAAAGACCTCTGACTAGTTGTTCGCAACCTTCCGTTCTAGATAGCGACTTGCCGCATGGGCAGCCCAAAACGAAGCGGCTACTTCGGATCCTGGACGCCAAAAGGTTCGCACGTCGCAGGTCCACCACGTTCATCAGACGCCCACACTGCACATGAACTAATCAAGTGCAACTTCACACACTCCAGCACGGTCAACAATATCTCGAGTAAGTTGAGGTCAAGTGCCTGCTGTCGTCGTGCCTGTTGTCGTCGTGCGTATCATTTGGGGCTGTCACGTCCGACATGTGGTGGTCCAGCGATCTTTGACGCCACGTGCGCGCGCCATTCAGACGCCGAAAGCCGTTGCGGCTCCTACTGTGCGCCAATCAACATCGCGCCCTACCCCTTCATGTCCCCAACCTGAAGGAAGCCTATTCGCAGAAAAAGCGCCGAGAACGCCCATTTTATCTTTCGAACAGGCAAACAGACAGAGGAGAGACGAACTGAGTGGGTCCATCTCTTGTCTCAGTTGATCCATTCAGTTGGCACACGAAAGCCAAAACTCTGGAAAAAAACAACAGCAATGGCCGACCGAGTTCAGGTCGCTGCTAGTGACGGCGCAACTGCGTCTGCTGCTCCGACTCGTGCAGTCGATCCCCAGAAAGAGCGCGAGATCGATGACGTGATGGAGTTCCTCAAGTTCAGCGTCAAGCCGCGCACGAGTTTCCACGGCACGATCGTGTTCCAGTTCAAGACAGCGGACGACGCAGAGCCCACGACGACGTACGCCGTGGAGATTGACGACGAGCAGCACGTGGTGACGCGCAAGAACGTGGACGCCAGCGACGTGCGTGCCACGTGCGACGTGAAGATCTCCATGGACGATTTTTTGTATGTCTACTCGGGCAAAGCATCGAGCTCGGACCTGCTGAAGCTCTTTTACGCTGGACGCGTAGCGATCAGCGGCTACGCGTTCCGCAGCGTGTCTAAATTTGCCCAGAGCTTTGACTTTTCGTCGGAAAAGTGGTGCAGTTTCTACGCGTGGCAGAAGGCACGCGATGAGAAGACCCGCGACAGTCGTGCACTAGGCATTGGTGAAGAGAGGAGTATCGTGGACGCGCCGTCGAGAGACGATTGGTATTTGCATGCAAAGACGATGTTGGACAGCTTCAATTTGAGCCGATTGCAGCGGCTGCTGTGGGAGACGTCGCTGACGCATTTGTTCGGCGAGAAGATTGTTCTCGACAGTGTGCGGCGCGCGTCAGTTCGTGACAGGAAGATTGCTGCTGGCAGGTACAGCGCTGCCGCAAGTGTCATGGGAGACGCTGGATGTGTGTCAGCAGTGCTGAAACGACGCGCAATAGGCGCGATCACAGCAGGTCAGCTTCCCTATGGGCGAGATCAACGCGCAGTGTTGGCGCGCTTCCTGCACCCTTGCAGGAAGCAGTCGGCGGTTGTTGCCAAGTCGCTAGCACTCGGCAATCCAGAGCAAACGGCGAGCGCAATGTTCAACTTTGTGAACGAAGACTACGTGGGAGACGTGCAGCGCTACGCCAAGCAGCGCCAACAGCGCCGCCACTACCGCAATCGCGTCGATCTCGGTGATGCTGGCATGGCGCAGTTGGACAAGCTCGTGCAGGTGATTGGCAAGGGCGGTCACTCGAACGCGAAGCGAGACAACCGGTCCAAGTACGTGCCTGCGCCCGAGCGACTTTTGCGCGAGTTCCGGGTCAATGTGGCTTCGCTCATGGACACGGTGAAGGAGAAAGCGTCCGGTCGCAAGGCGCTTTGCAAGATACCCGCACCGGAGATGAACTGGCTTGTGCGCAACGGGCGCTCGGGCAGTATGGTGATTGCCGACAGCAGTAGTGGCAGTACTGGAAAAGGGATGTCTGCTAAGCCGTTTGCTGCCATGTCGCCGTTGCCGAACTTGCCCCAGACCTTTGTCGTGGAAGTGAACCGAGCAAAACTTGCTCGCAACCGAAAGCGCTTTGACGTACCGAAACAGCGCATTAGGGCCAAGTTTGCGTCCATTTCGCGCGAGCTCGTGAACCCAACGAATCCCGTTGCAACGCCCTTTGACGAGCACTTGGTCTTTTCGGATTACCTGTAGCTCTTCTTGCAATGAAAGCATGTAGGATGACAACCAGTTGCGAGTAGTGCACTGTGACGCGCCGTATATTCTATTTTGGGGGTGTCGAGGCACTTTTTTGTGCTGCTTGTCTCTTTTTTTCGGTCGATAAAACGCTTGTTGCAAAAGGCACAATTTCGGCACAATCGTCCAAAGCGTTTTAGCCAGTCAAAAAGTCAACAAAGCGCCGACGACGTGAGGGACTGACTGACGGACTGCCGGTAGCATGAGAGACCTGGACGACCACACGCCCGATGATATCTACTGCGACAGTCAGGTGTTTGACATTGCGTTCCACCCGTTGGCGGACATTGTGGCTCTCGGGTCCATCGATGGCGTCGTGCAAGTGTAAGAGCTGATACAAACAGATTGTCAAGTGTGGGGAACTGCACGAGCCACTAACGAGACTGCTCTTGTATTACTTTTGTCATTGTTATTGCTGTTGTTGTTGCTGTTGCTGTTATTTCCATCGTTCTTTTGCTGTTGTTGTTGTTGCTGTTGTTGTCGACTGTTGGGATGCAGTTACAAGTACTCGGAAGAGGCAAATGCAAAGATTCTGGAGATCAAGAACCACCAAGAAGCTGTTCGAGCGCTGCTGTTTTCGCCTGACGGACAGAGTACGAGGAAGGATCGTTGGCTGACGGGCTGGGACTGAATTGAAGAGTCCATTGGCTGACGACGTACATGTGCTGACGGTCTTACTGTGCTCTCAGCGCTCTACACAGCGTCCGCAGACAAGTCGATTCGGGCTTTCGACACGCTCGGCAATCCGACGTGGGCAGAGATGCGAGCGCACAAGTAAGAAACGAAAAGTGTGGATGGAACTGCGTTTGGCTGCATGAGAACTGACGCTCTCGTGCTGCTACAGCCACCCAGTGAACCGTCTGCACGAGCTGTCGGTCAATGTGTTTGCAAGCGGCGACGACCAAGGCTGCATCAAGATCTGGGACACGCGGCAGCATCGGTGTTTGTCCGAGTTCAAGGAGCACAAGGTGCGCCTTCTGCTGCTTGCTAGCCAACGTGTCCGAGCACGATGTTCACACTAGACTTGTTCTGCTGCAGGACTATATATCTGGGTTCGCGACCAACCCGGCGCAAGACCATCTACTCGCGACGAGTGGCGACGGACGCTTGTCGGCCTACGACTTGCGCAAGAACGTTCTTGCAGGCAAAAGCGACGAGCTCGACGACGAGCTGCTATCTGTTGCAGTGATCAAGGGCGGTCGAAAAATTGTGTGCGGCGCGCAGGACGGTGTGCTCGTGATTTTCAGCTGGGGTACGTGGGGAGACATGTCCGATCGCTTCCCTGGTCACCCGGACTCGGTCGAGGCTTTGCTCAAGGTGGATGAAGATACCGTGCTTACGGGATCGAGCGACGGCATCATCCGGTACGTGCAGTAAGTCGTACACGCGATTATCAGGACGAAAATGCTGCTGACTTTGCTCGCATTACTTTGCACATGACGTTACAGAGTAGTTCAGCTTCACCCGAACAAACTGTTGGGACTCATCGGCGACCACGAAGACTTTCCAGTGGAGAACTTGAAATTTTCGCATGACAAGAAGATCATTGGTAGCGTTTCACACACTAGCAAGGTGCATTTTTGGGATGTGGGATATCTTTTCGAAGAAGACGACGATGACGATGAGGAGGAGGAAGTCGTCGATGGAAGTGAGGCCAAGGCGTCCGCTGAGGTGTCGTTGGACACTGAAATGCGGGATGCTGACAGCGATAGCGACAGTGATGTTTCCGACGCGGGGAATGCAGTCAAGGGCCGTCGGGCGTTTCCCACGGCCAACGAGCGGTTCTTTTCGGACTTGTAGCGATTTCCATAGGGCAAACATGACCCAACATACAGTATTTTGCACGTCGTGTTGTGCATTCAGTTCGACTTTGTTGATCATTGTCCTTCTTCCTCATGCCACTTTGTCCTTTGCTCTGGTTCTGGTCACAACCGCCATCCGTCCTGTCAATCGTAGCAAGTCGAGGGCTTGTTGTAGTTGTTTGGGAATTACTGCAGCAATACTGCAACAACCTATACCCACAGTCCACAACGCAACTAGCAGTACCATGGAAGCAAGAATACACAAAGTCGACTGGTGCATTCCTCTAGTTTCGCGTCTCTTCGATTGCTTGTACGAAATTACTCCTCGACCTATCTGCCATCACTACTTCAGATATATGCCTCGAATGTGAGCTCCTCGTCGTACTCGCTGTAGCCCGAATCAGCACGAAGACAACGAGCGTGTGCGATACACTTTCTCCAAGTGATGCATCAAGAGCCTTGCAGTCGGACGTCTCATCGGGTCGCTTCGAAGACAGTCTCGAGCCATTTCTCGAATGACTTCAGGACACACGGGTGTCAACAACGTCAGTAGATCTGCTCTCTTGACACCAATCAACGAGTTTGCCGTGTCGAGCGCTACCAACAGGACGCCGAACGAATAGACATCCGAGTGTCGTGACAACTCGCGCCCTGTCAATACTTCTGGTCCATTCCAGATACTATCTCGACCCACAGTCCCGCACTTGTCCTCGCAGGTGGCATCAAATGGTCGACTAGCACAGGAACCAAATCCACAAAGTACCGGCGCTCCTGTAACCGGATTCAGCAAAATGTGGCGAGGGTCCAGTGAACCATGAACAACCGGAGGCGACTGGCCATGAAGGAACGACAGACCGCGTGAGACTCCGACCGCAATGTGCAGTTTTTGCTGAGGCCACGTCCAGTCTTGACACTTTCTCTCACTGCACATAGCACGCTGAAGGTCACCGCTGCAATGGTGTTCCCAAATCGCCGTAAGGTTCTGCAACGAGTTCCAAGCAATGCCCACCAAGTCCACGATATTCGGGTGCTTCAACTTGGCAGCTACGTGAATTTCACGGGCAAGACGTTCAACTGCACGAATACTGTTGCGCTTCGGGTCCCGCAATCGCTTGAGAACGACTCTGCGCGAGTCAAGAGTTCCAACCAGCACTTCATGCGCTGGGCCACGACAAAGTATGCTGCCGCCGTTGACGTCGACGATGGGGACACGTAACGCATGAACGACAGGATCGTTCTGGAACTGTAGCAGCACTTCTGAAGCACCGAGGGCATCCGAGTAATCGACTACTACCGACGCTGTAGCATTCGAGCATCTTCTTCGAGCGTCTGCTTCGGAACTGGTCCCAGCATCAAGCAGCTCATATGACATCGGCCCTGATGCTCCGTTGTTGCGGTGCGCGGTCACGAAGAATGTGCCTCGAGGTGTCAAAGCGCAGCGATCGAATGTCGCTTTGCCACTGGCATCCAGCACAGCTCGTAGCTGTTTCCGACGTCTGCTGTGAGTATGGCGAAAGCACACGAGTCCCAGAGAGCAAAGCACCACAGCGAGAGCAGTGGCAACCACATAGATACCAACGAGCAGTCCGGTAGACCCTGTGTCAAGCACCTCTCTTGATCGACGCGAGTCAATGAGATCTTGCAGCAGCTCTGCCACCACGGCCAATCTGCGGGGTTTGCACCATACACTGCTATTTGCAGGAGCCTTGACAGTCGTGCACGGGATAACAAGAGCAAGCTGGCGTGAACACGCTTCGTCGCTGACAGAGCTTTGCATCGTGATGGCAAAAGTCCCGACGGAATGGCGACGCAACGTCGGCATCGGGACGTCCGTGTTGTATCCCTCTTCGGACCACATCACGCTCGTCTCGACGTCCAGCGACGCGGCAGGCGCTTCGCTGTCCACTTCTAGCACTGCACACTTGGCCACCTGCTCGATGTCACTGTCAGCACAGCCTGTTGCTCTCCACACCGTACCAGAACGCACAGGATCTGTGCACACAGTCGAGAGACAGTTATGCAGCCTCTTGAACTCGTGCCGCGAAACTGCCACGTCGTCCATTGCGAGCGCGCAGCGGACGCGGACTTCTCGTGTCGTGTCGCGGGGCGTGACAATGTAGCCGTGATCCCAGAGCACGAGTCGCTGCAACGTCCCGCCCAAGTCTGTCCACGCCACGTTTCTTTGGGTCAGCAGATACTGCACTTCGATCGGCACCGACGTCTGGAGCTCGAGCTGGGGCGACTCGAGGCCCAAGCGAACGAGCTGCGCCATCCGCAGCGCAGGCGTCGAGTTCTCAAAGGTCTCGGCGAGCGACACGCGTCCGAGCGCGACGAGCCACAGCAACAGCGTCCGAGCCACGAGGCACGTGGTCTCCATGGCACAATAAGAACGATCCTCGAGCTGGAAGAGGAAGAAGAGAAGGAGGAGAAGGAAGAGGAAGACGCACAGCTGACGAGCGTGTGGTTGTTCGGGAGCACTTTGTCTGAACTTGGCACGACATTCGCCATCGGCACAAGTTTGTGGCTGTTGTTGCTGTTGTTGCAGTTGTCGTATCCGTACAGATCGTCCGATAGTCAGACGGCTGCTGTCCAGCGTAGCGCGTCGATTGGCGTTCGAAATGTATGTATAGCTGTTCGAAGTCGAGACACTTGGAGCTGTTCGCTTGTCTCCGTGGCCGATTACATGGGTACATTCGAAGCAGCATAGACAAGCCAACCCCTACCCTCGAGCTCGTTTATGCGGGTATGCGGGACAAAGACGAGGCGGCGCGGGCAATGCGAGGTGGCAGCCCTAGCCCTGTGGGCTTCCCCTTCCCCGCGCTTGCGTAACGTGGAAAGGACCGTCGTCCGCGCTGTACCGCGAACGGTCACGCGGGGGCTAAAGTAACGCGAACAGAGCCAGAGGCTGATTGGTGCGTTTTTGCGCCCGAGCGCCATCTCAATTCGAATTGATGGCATCGTTTATGCTCAACTGATCCTTTGCATCTCAGTCTGTGTCCGACTATAGGCGACGCGTGCGGCCGCAGAGACCGACCGACCGACCGATCGATTGACCGATTCACCGATCCGTCAATTATACCGTCTCGCGGCCAATACTGCATCTGTGGCAACACCATCCGCCACAGTCTCTCGTGCTTCTTGTGCGTGTGTGTGTCTGTGTTTCTCCCGCGTCGACGGGAGTGCGCCGTCTCGAGCGCGTCGTCGCTTCGCGTTACTTTCGAGCCGCCCGCGTACCACACCAGTGCCACATTCACCCCCGCGCGCGGTGGCAATCGTACTTAGTGGGACCACCGTCTAGTCGTGGCCTCCTTTTTCAGCCCGTCAGAGTCCAACGAGCGCGCGAGGAACGAGGCCGAGGGACCCGTGCGCGCTGCACGCGGACGTGACGAGGGACCGACCGACCGCCGCCCGCCGCTGCCTGACGTCGTCGACGAACGACGAAGGCGCTCGCGCTGTCGGCGATGAAGAAGATGTCCCGCAAGAACTTCCGTGGCGCGCCCTTGTTCTCGAGCAAGTCGAGCAGCTCCACGGCGTCGCACGGCAGCAGCTCGACGTCCCCTGGGACCGGACCAGGCGCAGTGCGTCGCGCGACGTGGGCGGACAAGATCCGGGACAAGCTCCCGCCGCTGGGCGAGAACGAGTACGAGGTGCTCTGGGAGCGGGGCGTGCTGGGCGTGATCTTTCTCGAGTCGGAGAAAGACGGCATCCCGTACGTGTCCAAGGCTACCGAGTCGTGCATCTCGCCCATTGTGAGTCCCGGCGACATTCTCAAGTTTGTCAACGTCGTGCGGTCGAAAGACCACTCGTTTTCCGACTTTTTCAAGATCCTCGCCACGATGAAGAAGCCCGTGCTGCTGCGCTTTGAGCGCCCGTCGGCCAGCACGCCGTCGTCCGATGAAGACGACAGCTCGCAGCTCTTTGGCGCGCCACGCGGCAGTTCGGCAAACAATGCAGCGAACGGCCATCGCCATGACATGGCGCGGCCAGATGGGCTGCATAATGACGAAGGGGCGCCAACGGGCGTGCCGCAGAAACCCCATCTGGTGCCGCAGAAGGATCAGAAACCGCCCAAGGCCTCGCGAGGCGCGTTTTGGCGCAGTGCTGGAGCCAAAGACTCTGTGGATCGTGAGCATGCAGCGCAAGCCGTTGGGCCGCATATGACGAGCGGTGAAAAGGATCGCACAGCTGCTTCGCACGGACAGCCACGGGCGTCGGGCAATAGGGACCATCAGGTCTCGCCGCGGGATGCCGCACTGGCAAACGGATCGGTAGCTTTGTCTTCGCATTCGCCTCTGGGGCCACATGAGTATCAGGTGTACTGGGAAACGGGGTTACTGGGTCTGTTTTTTGGGGAGAACCGATCGACGAATTTGCCCATTGTAACACGATCGACTTCGAGTGCGAATTTGGTCGTGCGACGTGCCGTTGCGGTCCACGATACGTTGATCTCAGCTAACGGTATCAAGTCAGCCGACTACTCGTTCGAGGCGTTCTTCAGTCGCCTCCAGCAGATGAAGAAGCCTGTACGGATGGTATTTAGACGAAGACAAGCGTCAGATCCAGCTGTGGTTATCAAGCAAGGAGATGAGCATCAGCATGAGCAGTCGCATCAGCAGCTTCAGTATAAGCAGGAGCAAATACGCGAGCAGGATCAGAAACGTGAACTGTATGGAGCACGTGACTTGCACGAACGTGAACAAGAACAGGAGCAACGAGAACAACGTGAACGAAAGCAACGAGAACAGCAGAATTTGGAGCAAAAGCAACGGGAACAGCACATTCGTGAACAGAGGCAGCGAGAGCAGCACATGATGGAGCAAAAGCAGCGAGAGCAGCAGATGTTAGAGCAAAAGCAACGGGAGCTGCAGATGCTGGAAAGAAAGCAACGAGAGCAACAGGTACTGGAACAGAAGCAACGGGAGCTGCAGGTACTAGAACAGAAGCAGCGAGAGCAACATGTACTGGAAAGAAAGCAGCGAGAGCTGCAAATACTGGAACAGAAGCAGCGAGAGCTGCAGATTGCGGAACAGAAGCAACGAGAGCAAAAGATACTGGAACAGAAGCAACGAGAGCAGCAGATTGTGGAACAGAAGCAACAAGAGCAGCAGATTGCAGAACAAAAGCGACAGGAGCAGCAGATTGCGGAACAAAAGCAACACGAGCAGCAGATTGCAGAGCAAAAGCAACACGAGCAGCGGCTACGTGAAGAACAGCGCTGTCAAGAGCCAACGGAACCACGCAATCAAACCTTATCGGTCGCAGTGGATACTTCTCCGTCGCCATCGACATCGCCTGTAGAGGAAAGGACATCATGCCGTGATTGTGCACCTAGTCCGACCGTAAAACATGCGTCGGCTCCGCTGTCATTTTCTCCTCAAGACCTGTCGGAATCTGATACCCGTCATCGTGAATACCGCCGTGGCTCAAATGAGCACGCAATTACATCTCCTCTGAGCTCTCCGGTAGCATCGAAGGGAAGCGGAAGCGCACGATATCGTCAAGTGCCGGAAAACGTTCCGAGCACGAATCACCAGACATCACCCAAAGCCAGCGTATCTTCACGGCCGGTGCGGAGTTTGGCAAGATCAGACAGTTCGCCGGACACGTCGCCGATTGTTTACAGTTCTCCTAGAGTGAGCAGCTCGCCATTGGTTTCGCCAGATTCTTCTTCTAATGAGATCGGGGAGCATAAGACGAGCAACTCGTCAGTGCCACGTGTTGTGGAGGATCCTGACAGAGCACCTGTTTCTCCCGTTTTCACTGCGGTGGAAAAGGAGGCTGTCCAATCGCCGAGGGATATCTTTCTTACCGATTTTCATGACGAACAAAATTGTGACAGCACCGAAGAGCAGCGACGGAGCGAAAAGTCACGAATCGCCGCCATCCATGAAGAGGAGCCAGTGTTGTTTGGGGTAAATAACACCACGTCTTTGTCGCCGACTGAAGCATGGGATCTGCCTGAGCATATGCCGTCGCCGAAAGAATCGTTGGCGCTAGAGTTGGTTGAAGAAGACAGCGATGTCGGTGTCAGTGCGCCTCTGTCACCAAATGCTTGTATCAACCTGGAACATGCCTCGATGGCCAAAGAAGCTGGATTTGCTGAAGAAGCGAAACTCGTTGACGAGGCCGAATTAGCAGAGGAAGCAGAGCTGATTGACGAAGATACGCTTGCAGTAGTAGAAGTGGCTGAAAACGCTGGACCAGCCGAAGACGTGAAGATGGCTGTAGAGACCGAGCCATTGATCTCGTCGCTACCTATGGACGATTTGGCGGAAGACCGCAGTAATTTGGATGTGGAAGTGGGTTTGCTTGCCGATGTCGAAATGGGTATTGCTATCGAGGACACAGAGTCGGAAGTGTTGGAAAGCAGTGTATCGGGGAGTGACCAGAATACGAGTCCGTGGGATCTCGAACCAGAATCTGATGGTCAGAAGACTTTCCACCACGGCAGTGATGCTACTTCTCCAGGTGACGGACCGATGTCTCCGAGCAGCGAGCGCAGTCCGATCGGCAGCGAATTGAACACCGCCAAGGGCGACTTTGAAGACGTATCTGACCCGTCGGATGAGTTTTCACATGACCCGGATATTTCAGGCGATATCGATACTGTGGAAGGCGACGTCATGATGCAGGAGAGCTCCAAATCCAAGGTGGATGCAGCAAGCGTGCCGAAACAAACGAAGTCATCGATGAACGCGAATTTGGCCAAGTATAAGAAGAAGGGCAAAAGCACTCGTGGCGTCATGAAGCTGCCAGCACTTCATGAAGATGATGCCGTGACGGTGCCTCTTGTCGCTCCGAACGCGGTCAACACAACTGTCCAAGTGCGTGGTCGACCGAAACCCAAGTTGACGATGTCGGATACTCCTGACAGTACGACGTTTCTGATCAAGTGGAAGGAAAACCGAAGTATTGGCTTACAGCTGAAGGAGGTACGTTTCGCCAAGGGCACGTACCCGCTAGTGACGGACGTCTGTCAGAAGCCTTGTTGCGAGTTGCTGCGACACGTTTGCGTGGGTGACGTAATTATCGAAATCAATGGCCGCAACACATCGACGATGGGAGTGAAAAAGACTGTCAGTTTTCTAAAGTCGTGTTCAAAGACGACTCTGATGAAAATTCGTCACGGACCGGCATTTGTCAACCAGCGCGTGAGTGCGTCAGTGTGACAGAAGCGTTCCGTTGTAGCAGTAATATACGATCAATTCTACAAGCGTAACTTGCTGGCGTGGTAGGTCCATGCGGAGTGCCCCGGAGAACTGGTGCGGGCGGTGTGGTGACACAATGCTCGCTGCCGTGTGCTACGATTGCTTCTTTACTTTGCTTTGCCATTCAGAATCAGTGAAGAGCTCGATGTTGCAGCGGATGGTGCCGGTTCGACATGAGTTCGCCTGGAGCGCTCGGTAGACGGTCGCTAGGATGGGAACACATTTCCTGATCCATCGAGTCGTCAACTGCCAAGCTGTGAACGTCACGGAGTGCGATGAGTTCCACTGTAACCAGCAGCAAGAGGCCGCGTGGACATATTTCGGTATCAGTACGTCAACCAGAGACCACCTGAGTGCAGGCATAGTCTTTGTTCCATGTAAACTGCTTGTATTTTGCTCAGCCGCTACCTGCTCGACCAACACTGCGATCAGTTGGTCGCGGGGGCTCGATCGACGAACGGAAGAGACGTACTCGGGCTCCAGTCTATTGGTGTCACCACTGTCCGTCCATCCACACCCGCGCGTAGTAGAATGCCTTGTTCACCGCGCCTTCCTCCTCTTGTCCGCTGGCTTAGTGCATGCTGGCAAGACGTCTCTTGATCTTGCCAATCGCCTGGGCCGGGTTCAGTCCCTTCGGACACGTGCGCGTGCAGTTCATGATCGTGTGGCACTTGTACAGCTTGAACGAATCGTCCAACGCGCGCAGACGCTCCTCCGTCTTGTCATCGCGCGAGTCTTCGATCCATCGGAACGCTTGCATCAGCACTATTGGCACCACAAACAAACTTGTCAGCACACACAGTCTGCTTCCAGTTCCACAGTGGCGAGATATCTCGAACGTACCAGCAGGGCCAAGGTACTTGTCCGGATTCCACCAGTAGCTAGGGCAGGAGGTGCTGCAGCACGCGCACAGGATGCATTCGTACATGCCGTCGAGCTTCTTGCGGTCCTCGATGGACTGCAGGTGCTCATGGTTGACATCGCTCGGCTTGTCCGAGTGCAGCCACGGCTTGATGGACGTGTACTGGTCGTAGAAGTTGTTCATGTCCGGCACCAAGTCACGAATCACAAACATGTGCGGCAGCGGGTGAATACTGATCACGTCCTCCTTGTTCTTCTTAATGGGACTCAAGCACGCCAGCGTGTTGCCACCGTCAATGTTCATGGCACACGAGCCACAGATTCCCTCACGGCACGAGCTGCAGAGCATGTCAACGTCGTCAGTCTCCCCCACTTTATCCAGAGCCCACAGCCCTTCGGATCACCAACCGTACCGGCGGAACGTCAACGTCGGGTCCTGCTCGCACTTGATCTTGATCAGCGCGTCTAGAACCATAGGACCGCATCTACACACACACAATCACACAGACGTACACATCAGCCTCAAAGTACTGTACAGAGGCCACCTCCCTCCCCTGTCTCCCTCTCTCTCTCTCTCTCTCTCTCTCTGCCACGTACTCGTCCAGGTCCACGGGGTACGTGCACTGGTACGGCTTCTCCTTCGACTCGGGGTCCCAGCGGTAGATCTTAAAGTACTTGATGTTCTATACACACCCACAAAAACAGTCACAGTGAACAGTCAGTCAGTCAGTCAGTCAGTCAGTCAGTCAGTCAGTCAGTCAGTCAGTCAGTCAGTCGGTCAGTCAGTCAGTCGGTCAGTCAGTCAGTCAGTCAGTCGGTCGTGAGGCAATAGAGTTCTCCTCAGCGCCGCTCTACCAACGCGACCGACGAGGCCATGTACCTTGGGCTTGGCCGCGTGGGTCTTGAGGTCCGGTTGGAACGTCGGGACGGACAGCGCGCGCAGCCCCGTGCTCGCCACGGGCTTCTGGATCGATCGCACAGCTGCTAACATTTGGCGCTTTTGGAATAGAGTTTGGCTCGGACGCTGCGATGGGAATATGAAAACTGACGGCGTGGACCGACGCTTGCGGATCGTACTTATTGACTTGCCTGTAGAATCGAATACCTCAAGTGCGAACTTAAACGCGACCTGGCTGCTGGACTGGATGTGGACCGGCTGGCGACCTCTGCGATCGAAATAACGGAGGTGTAGACTGGTCATGCTGTTCAATAGGTCAAGCGGCATTCGCGACCACACCATTCTGCAGCCATCATTCGACGCAATACTCAGCTCCATAGAACGCAGGAGTCAGTCGGTCAGCTGGCAACGTCGTCGCACGAGAGGACCCAGATTTCTGAGGCGCGCACAGCCCCAAATTGAGCTACTTTACCCATTAACCGAGAAACTAAAAGAAGCCATGGAATTCTTTGCACTTCGTCGTCTCAGGTACAGGATACGAATCTATATTTGAGGTTTCTAGACGTTATGCAATCCCCACTCTACTTCCCAAGTGGCACAATACAGTATAACAGCGCATCGACTCCACCCACCCCGAGGAGCTCTCAAACCACTTCTTCGTCCCTTGCGTATCATCGGATCGTGTCCAGATCGTACATGTCATATCATCACTTCGCTCATCGAGTGTGTCGCAATGTTCCAATCGACGTCTACTTGCGTCAAATCAGGCGATTGAGCTGAAGCCGTTCGCTGGACGAACATACGTTACCATATCGACGTCGTCCGAATATCCTCTTCATTTTCCATCACAGCGGTCGGCCGTAAGCTCTGTCTTTCTGGCCGCTGTATACGCTGTGTGCAACACGTCGACCACTTCTGTTGCATGAGTCAGCAGGAAGGCGAGGGAGAGTTGACCTGCTCTCGCTTCAAACTGCACCTGGAGTGCCCGACCAATGCAGCTGTCGCTCGGGTAAAGCTCGAGCGACTGCTGCGCTTTTGTCGGCATTGCCGTCGTCACAAGTGCCGGCGGTGTGGCTGCAGTACCACCAGTGGTAATCGACCGCCGGTACTTCCGCCAGATATGCCACGCTGTTTTCACGTGCTCCTTCTCGACGCGCTTGCGAATGCCGTCTGCGCCTCCACTACTCGCTCCGAGCCACTGCAGCACGCAGCGTCGCTCATATCGTCTCGCAAACAGACACAGCTCCGACTGCGCTGCAGCCCCTTGTGCATTTACACTGTCCACAGTATGTCCACTCTTTTCCACACAAAAGAACCACTTCTTGGCGGTCGTCGAGTGCGGAAACGACACAAACGCCTCAGCACGAGCAAAGCCCACGCGCAGTGCCGTGTGTTCCATCAGCTCCACGAAGGCCAAACTCGGGGGATAGACCTGAAACACCGCCCGCGTCTCGCGACCTGCAGCAGCCAACTGATGATACAGCGACGAGAGACACACCTCCAATCCCTCTGGTTGGAGCCACTGCAGCATTGAGATCCCAATCGCTCCGTCCAGCACACCGTCTCGCACCGGCAGTTTCTGTCCAGCGTTACCGCAGTAAAAGTCGGCGCGAGGCGCTTTTGCGTCGCGCCGCTGACTCTGCGACGCTATGGACAGCATTGGCGCACTGATGTCACAGGCCACGACAAAGACAGCGACTTGGCGCTCGCGGAACCAGATCTGTGCGGCCCGTGTACTCAGCCCCGAACCTGCTCCCACATCTGATACCACCACCACATCTGATACCACCACCACTGAATCGGTCGTCGACGCGGTCTTTCGCTCTGACTCGACGTGCAAGAGCTCCAGCGCGTGACGCGTCAAGTCGGTCTGTATACTGTCGTTGGACGCGGAGGTGTAGACAGCGGACTGCTTTTGGCTGTAGAAAGCGCGTGCGGCCGCTGATAACGGCGTCGCGAGCGCATTGCTCAGCTCTTCTGGCCGCAGCCTTTTGAAAGGCATGAGAGTGTGAAGTAGTTTTTAGGAGGGGACGTGGTGGGTGGGACACGGCACTGGAGCGAAAGGTGAGGGATTCGTCGCGTAAAGGAACATTTCAGTGGCGAAACGACACGAGTTGTGATGATTGGGCAACTCTCGAAATTAATGCAAACAACGCAAAAGTTGACAACGTGAACACTCAGTATTGTGGGCTTGTTGCAAAGCTCTTGCTTGGGGTGTGGGGATGGACTGCGCTACGTGGTATCGCTCTAGGGGAAAGACATTCGAACTTCTACGTTTTCACGACACATGCGACGGGGTGAGCGCGTTTCACGACATTGACACTTACGTGAATGTCGATGCAAATATTACCGTAGCGGGGACATTCCAAATGATATCGCGCATCCAACAAAATCGTCTTAGCGGATTACGTTTGTGTGAAATTGCTGAAGCGGGCGACTTTTCAGAAGATAGATGACCTTAGCGGTAACGTTCGTTGTAGTTGGTGACACACTACCCATTGGCCTACAATATAGCATAACGGGGTTACACATCGGTTGGTAGCCGACACAACACGTGTGATTTACACCAGGGATGATATCCTATTAAAATTGATATAAGTACAGCGTATCAGTTGTTAGGGGATGACGTGTGCTGGCCACCACATTACGAGATCTTGTGAGAGTTTATAATTAAAGCATTAGTGTCTGGATAAGTAAGTTTAGTCTGAGATTTCCTTTTATATAGGGAACAAAAAATGCCCCATTTCATCACGAAAATAGAAAAAAGGCTCCAGAGAATTGAAATATTAAAAATCCTGACGTCCTAGTATACTCAAGATAATGTGGCACACAAAAATCACACGTCCTTAATCATTTTCGTTTTCCCTTTCACGACCGTGACCAAACCCCGCCCTGTTTGGGAAGCCGCGGAGAGGGTTCTGCCGCGGGCGTGCTGCGCTTGCAGACACCAGTTGCAGGCGCAGACGCGAGATATGAGGACGTGCACGCGTCTTCGTATCATCAGTCGTGGCCGTAAACACAGTCAGTCGGTGCTTATGTTGTTGATATTAATGTTATTGCTTCTGATATTGTTGTTTCAGTTACGATTGTTGATGTTGTTGCTGCTACTGTTGTTGCTGCTGCTGTTGTTGTTTTAGGTGCTGCGGTTGCTGTAAGTGTTCTTCTTCTTGTGGGATCGCATTTCTTTTCCAGCTTATCAGGTTGGATACTCTAAAACGTATGGGGATGTCAATAGACCCCAATGAATCTATTCTTCCTGTTTAGCTCTTATTGATACCTTCAATGTCTGCAGACTTCTTCGTTTGAAGGCATATTACTGGAAGGAAACGTGCGATGATGCCGTAAGCCAATTCGTCAAAGTTTTTTGTCAGTTAACTGAACCACAACGTGGTTAGATCATTTTTGTCCTGATGTTGTGGTTAGACATTGTATGTATATCTGTCATGTCAATATTAATGGAGTTGGTCAAAGCTGGTGAAATGCAAAGTGAATATATTCAGGTCCTTAGTTCACAGCCTTTTGTTGCTACTCTAAGCCTACTGGATTCTTCAACTACACGTTTCTAATCGCTATATCGCGCATTACTAATCGTGTAGTCGCGCATGAGTAATCTACTCCATACACGTTACTCATCAGATAGTCGCACATGAGTAATCCACACTACTGGTATTACTCATGTGGGCCCATGAGTAATCTACTCTATGCATTACTCATGGGATAGCCGCACATGAGTAATCTACTCTGTACATATGAATCATTAGACAGTCACTCATGAGTAATCCACGCTAGTGGTATTACTCATGGGATAGGCGCACACATAACTAACTAGACCGTACCTTTAGTGCAGCGATTTCTGGCCGAGGCGCATCTTCAAAAACACTTCCACTCGACTCGGCAGACTCTGGTGTCTTGATCCCCAGCATGCCTCAAAGATATTCGAGCTGCGCAGCGGGGATCGGCTTCGTCATGAGGTCTGCTTTCATGTTCTTTGTGCCGCAGTGCTTGAGCAACACTTGGCCGTCTGCAACCTTCTCGCGCACGAAGTGATACCGGATGTCGATGTGCTTCGTTCTTTTATGGAACTCGGGGTTCTTGGCCAACGCATTAAAACCTTGGTTAATTTCATCGATCTTGACTGCTTCGTCGTTCTTCATATCACCAATCTCACACAAAAATGCCTTGAGCCATACTGCCTCTTGTTTGGCTTCTGTCAACGCCATGTAATCGGCTTCCGTAGACGATAGAACCACTGTACGCTGTTTCTTGCTTCTCCATCTGATACACCCATTGTTCATCAGGAACGCGTATCCACTCGTGCTTCGTCGAGTTTCCACATCACCAGCCCAGTCTGCATCTGAGTAGCCTTGAAGCTTGTCATTGCTTGTGGCTTGAAATTAAATCCCATGGGTTTTTGTGCCTTGGACGTACCTAAACACGCGCTTGAGTGCTTGCCAATGTGTCGGACAAGGGTCCGCTGCAAACTGGCTGAGCACTCCCACTGCAGCTGCGAGATCTGGGCGAGTCCCTACCATGAGGTACATCAGGCATCCAACAGCATTGCGATATGGAACATTTGCCATCGTGTCTTCGTGCTTGCATCCACCTTCGCACATGGACCTTGTCAGCTTTAGCCCGGGTTCTTGAGGAGTTTTAACTGAATTAGTATGTTCCATGCCAAATTTCTCGAGGATGTCCTTCGCGAATTTGGACTGACGAATCGAGATTGTGCCGACCATGAAATCTTGGTCAACTTCCATACCGAGAAAATACTTGAGGTTTCCCAAATCCGTCATGTCGAAGAGATCACCCAGCGCCTTCTTTGTTGACTTGAGCAGCTCGTCTTTGTTGCTCGCGAGAACCAAATCGTCGACGTATAGTGTCACGAAAATCATGTCTTGATCGGCTCGCTTGACTTAGATGCAGTGATCCGTTTCACGTTTCTTAAAGTCCAGTTCCAGAATTAACTTGTCGATGGTTTGGTTTTACATCCGTTCGTCCAGGAGTCCATTGAGAAACGCCGTCTTGACATCCATTTGGTGTACCGACAAGATATACTTGGCTGCCAGGCTGAACAAAATCCTGATTGACGTGAACTTGGCCACGGGCGCAATGGTCTCATCGTAGTCAATACCACGCTTCTGATGAAAAACCCTTTGGCAACCAAGCGCGCTTTGAATCGCTCGACTTCCCCAGCCTGATTCTCCTTGACTCGAAAGACCCATAGAGTACCGATTGATTTGCGGCCTTTTGGTAGTGGTACAAGGTCCCAGGTCTTGGTTTTCCCAAAAAATTCCATTTCTGAGTCGCACGCTTCTTTCCACTTGACTGCATCACTGGATTCCATCGCCGATTTGAACGTCGTTGGCAATTCTCCCACTGAATCCATGTCGTAGACAGCCTCAAAGTCAGAACGTTCTTGAGCCACCGCAGATGTTTCGACCAAACCTTGATCCCGACTTAGTCGTTTTGCCCTTATAATATCGACCGTTTCTTCCAGTGATCGTGTGCGTTGATGTCGCTTGCTTCCAGGTTCGACGTCATCAGCCTGCACGTTTTCTTCTTCTTCTTTGTTGAAACACGATGAGTCTCCATCCGTTGAACCTTCTTTATCTTCTAGAACTGCTTCGGCTTGAACTTTGTCGCGTCTTCCACTGTCGAAGACGTCTTCCATAAACTGTGCGTCGCGGCTGACCAGCACACGACCACTCTAGATCTCTTCGAATCGATATGCTTTTTCGTGATCTGCATATCCCATAAACCGACAGTGTATTGATCGAGCGTCGAGCTTTGACCGTTTTTCCTTTGGAACATGCACATACGCATGACACCCGAACACCTTCAAATTTGCCAGCAAAGGTTAGTTTCCAGTCCAAGCTTCATGTGGTGACTTGTCATGACGTGTAGCACGGGTTGGGCAGCGATTGCGCAAGAAGTTGGCAGTCATGACTGCTTCTCCCCATTACGATTTCGCTAGCCCAGCATGTGCCATCATGCAGCAGGCGGTTTCCACCAATGTCCGATTCATCCTTTCGGCAACACCGTTCAGTTGAGGAGTGTACGGGGGCGTAAATTTCTGCACAATGCCACGGTCCACACACATCTTGGACATCGCACCGGAGGTGTATTCGCCACCATTGTCACAACGAAGAAGCCCCACGCGCTTGCCAGTCTGAGTTTTCGCCCACACGACGAATTCTGCAAATTTGGTCGCCACTTCAGACTTGTTCTTGAGCAGAAATACCATAGAGTAGTGTGAGTATTCGTCGGTAAATGTCACAAAATAACGTTTGCCACTGTAGGTACGGGTTTGCATGGGTCCACACACATCGCTGTGAATGACCTCCAGCAACTCCTTTTCTTGTTCAGGAGACTTTGACATATAGCTCACTCGTGTTTGCTTGCCGAGTGCACACCCGCTGCACGTCTCCCATTTGTTCACCGAGACCAAGTCAATGCCGGTTCCATAACCTTTCTTGACGATGGCGTCAAGTCCTCCGTGGCCGATGTGACCAAGCCGAAGATGCCAGAGATACTACCCGGTACCCCTTTTACAATCATTTGAACTTGACACGTTTGACTCGTTAGACGCTTCTGGCGTCATGCAGAGTTTGAAAAGCCCTTTGCCCTCGCGAGCACCGAGCTTCCACTTGACACCTTTCGTCTCCGCGAAGCATCCATTGGTTTTGAAGGTGACTGGTCCGACACCCTGGTGAATCTACCCACGGAAAACAGATTAAGCGATAACATCGGGATATGCCACACGTCCGTGAGCACACCTCTCTTGGTACCACGTGGCGTCTTCATTGACATCACGATGTCGCCTTTTCTGATCGCTTGAGCGACACAATCGTCTGCCAAGTGCGCATCGACCGGATTGAAGACCTTGTAGTTCTTCATGAACTTCTTGGAGCTCGTCATGTGCTGCGTCGCACCCGAGTCGATCAGCCACACGTCACTCAACTTGGCGACTTCACCACCAACCGAAAACAGATAGTCACCAAG